AGTGGTGACAGGAAGAAGAGCGTCACTCCTACTCGGGCACTGTGTGCGGACAATGGAAGGAATGTTTCCACAGGGTGCGAGGTGTGACTGGATGTGAACAGCCCCTGTCGCTATGTATAGCCGGGCTTGGGGAGAAGCACCCGCTGGAGGGAGGAGGAGGCCAGGGTGGTTTTTTAAAACCTTTTTGTATATTTACACTTCCTGGCTTTTAAAAGTGAATGAAAGGGCCGGGCTCGGTGGCTCACGCCTATAATCCTAGCACTCTGGGAGGCTGAGGTGGGTGGATTGCTCAAGGTCAGGAGTTTGAAACCAGCCTGACCAAGAGTGAGACCCCCGTGTCTACTAAAAATAGAAATTAGGCCGGGCGCTGTGGCTCACGCCTGTAATCCTAGCTCTTGGGAGGCCGAGGCGGGTGGATTGCTCAAGGTCAGGAGTTCAAAACCAGCCTGAGCAAGAGCGAGACCCCGTCTCTACTATAAATAGAAAGAAATTAATTGGCCAACTGATATATATATATAAAAAAAAAAAATTAGCCGGGCATGGTGGCGCATGCCTGTAGTCCCAGCTACTCGGGAGGCTGAGGCAGAAGGATCACTCAAGCCCAGGAGTTTGAGGTTGCTGTGAGCTAGGCTGACGCCACGGCACTCACTCTAGCCTGGGCAACAGAGTGAGACTCTTGTCTCAAAAAAAAAAGTGAATGACAGTTGTTCAAAGCTCTTTAGAGCAGAAACGACACCTGAAACCCTCCACGCACACCCTCGTTTAGGATGCTAAAGGGACTCCCCTTCCCACACTCACAGTTACACACAACTCGGGGGCGGCCGTCAGAGACCACCCTTGCTGTAGGGAATGTTCCAGAACGGGTTCGCCAAATGTTTTCTGTAACCGGGCCAGAGAGCAAAGACGGTAGGTTCTCTGGTGCAACTGCTCATCTCTGCCGTCAGGGACCCTGCGGCCCGGAGATGTCCGTGCATGGCGCGGGAGCTAGCGAGTGTGGCCGTGTGACAATAAACCTCGATCAGCAAGAACAGGCAGTGGCCTGATGGGCCGACTTCCGGGTAAGAAAAGCCCGAGGACGTCCTTTGTTGACGTGGACCAGGCTGAAGGTCACACCCACCCACGTGGGAATGCAGCCGAAGGGAGGACACATTTGTCTTCTCCGCTCCATGTTTTAAGGTTAAAGACACACTTAAACATGGCTCACCCCGGCTTCACGTATTTGCTGGGTTGCATGGTCGGTGAGACGGAACAACAGCGGTGGGGCGGGGCGGGTGGACAGGCAGCCTGTCCTGTCAGAGCTGGCCTCCCAGCAGCCTCTGGGACCCAGCGCCCCAAATTCGGGCATATTGGCATATTCGGGGACAAGGAGGGGGTGGCAGGCACCCGGTGCTGAGCTGCCCCTCCTGGGCTGAGTCCTGGCCCAGCTTCCTACTTCTGGGAGCTCGGGGCTGGGACTGGCCTGAGTTGAGGGCGCTGGGGAGTCTGACAGGGGTGTCGTCCTGGTTGGTGAAAAGGAAAAGCCCGGGGCCCCTTGCAGGAGGAGGTGAGGGAAGGAGGCAGGTGCTGGCTTTTCCTTTATGTTGATAAATTGCTCAAATTCGTTCCCCAAAGCATAAAATTGCTCAAAAATTTTTGTGTTTTTCTCTGGATATCAATATAAAAAAGAGATACAAATGTAACTCCTCAAAAAAAAAAAAAATCAAACCCACACAAGTGAATTTCCCACTTTGTTCCCAGCTTCCGTCCCCCTCGGGGCGTGGAAACCACCGCTATTATGGCAGACATTGGTCCAGAACTTTCTTACACAGTTACTTAAGTGTTTTTGCTTGGAAAACTATGTATTTAGACTTGTGTTTGATTTTTGCATAAATGAAAACATACTTTGCACACCGCTGCACGGCTTTGTCTGTGTATTTGATATTCAGAAATACGTCTTGGCTGCAGTGCCGGAGGGCTCCCGGAGGACCACACCGATCGTCCGAGAGCCGCACGGCTGTCCTGGGTGGCCTGTGTGACAGTGGACCCAGCCATCTGCCCGTCACCGAACATTTGTTCCAGACAAATCCAGCCTCATACTCGGCCCTCACCCCAGCGCTGGAGTTGTGGGGGGTTCCCTCGGTGAGTTGTGGGTTTGGCCTCGGGGCCTGGGCGGCTCTGAGCGAGGAAGGGGTGGGGGTGGCCTGTCCACAGGCGGGTGACCGTGCAACTCCATGTTCTCTGCTGGGGGCACTCTGCAGGCCGGGCCGTGGGGACGCTGGGACATAAACATGGTCGAGCTCTGCCCTCGGCCCGGTCTCAGTCTGCCAGGCTGCGATGACAAAATCCCAAAGACCCGGTGCCTGATAAACACCTGGAGGCTGGAAGTCCAAGGTCAGGGCACCAGCAGGCTCTGTGGCTGGCAAGGGCCCTATTTCCTGGCTCACAGGTGACACCTTCCTGCTGTGTCCTCACATGGTGATGGGGCAGGGAGCTCCGGGGTCCCTTCTGTAAGGGCACGAACCCCATCACGAGGTGCCACCTGCACAACTGATCACCCCACTTCCAAACCCTCACACTGGGGATTGGGTTTCAACATACGAATGCTGGGGACACCAACATTCAGACCAGCCCTTTGGGTTCTCAAGAACCCTGTGGGGAGGCCCAGGAGAAATTGGCCCCCTTCTGAACAGGGGACCTCCACGGAAGCTTCCGGCCAAGGCCCAGCCCTGAGGTGTGGACAGAGTCGACTCAGACCTAGGGAGTCTCTCTCCACCTCCAGGCTCGGGTGTCTTCACTCGCAGAGGTGCTTCTGCAGGACGGCTTTCTCCTGGCCCCTTGGGTGACCTTCGAACCGCAAACGATGAGAACCTGCAGCAGATAAATGGCCCAACATCCTCTTCCCCTGCTGGGACAACTGAGGCACATTCCACCGGAGCTGCATGATGCAGCAGGGTGGCACCTGGTGTCCTCCCACTCTGTGCCTGAGAAGCTCTCCTCCCTCCCTGACTCTCCCCACCCCACTCCCCAACCCCCCCACTCCTGATGTCTCCTCCCAGACGGATCAACCACATCCCCAGACTTACCACGAGCTGCGCCCCATCAGGACAGGGAACATGAATTCTACATCGCAGTGGGGAAAACACACTGCCCCTAAGGGTGTTTGGCAGTGTCTGGAGACGTCTGCGCTTGGCCCTGGGGTGGGAGGTGCTGCACCTGCAGGGCCCAGGATGGTCCCAAATGTCAGCAGTGCTGAGACCGAGACGCCCTGGCCTGATGCCACAGGGCTCTGTCACTCTCGTTCTGGGACTGAGGCTTGGTGGGTAATTATGAGCCTGTAACGTTTAGATTCCACTGAACGTAGCTCAATCCGGTAAAACGTACTCGGTGGTGCCCCCCACCGTGGGCTGCAGTGTCGCAGGGCCGGCTGCACTGAGGGCAGGGCAGAGCAGGGCGGGCCACAGGGAGGAAAGGAAAGACGCTTACTCAGGGAACAGGCATAGAGCCCACAGCCAGGTCTCCCGTGGAGCTCCTCATGCACACATACTCACACACGTGCACACACCACAGACGTGTGTCTTGAGAGAACTCCTTCTCCCTCTCGCTGAGGCATTCTCAGGCCAGGTACACAGATCTCCTGGTAGGATCTGGCTTCTGACACTCACTTTTGGGACCCACATGACACACTTTTGTGTGTCCTCAACTCCTCACTGCCGGGCAAGGGGCAAGGGCTTCCCAACTGCTGGGCAGCAGCAGGCTCTTCACAGGGCTCCCGTTCTGTTCCTCTAGCTCTGCCCTTTGCACCTAGGCCAGACACCTGTGGGCTGCAAAACTCGGGTCAGAGCTGCCGTGGCCATGGCTGTCTGCCCATCTGGCCAGGAGGGCGTATTCTCCTGTGCTAGGCTTGGGTAGGTCTCACAATTTTGGAAACTCCTTTGTGGAATGATGGGGAGGTGCCCCTGGCCCGGAGTTAAGGGGACATGTGAGAAAGCACCCCTACATCTGAACATTTGCTCTGGGCTGCATTGTGTCCCCCCACCCCCAAATCCATGAGTTGAAATCCTACCCTCAGGACAGTATTTGGACACAGGGCCTTTAGCGAGGTAATCAGGGTAGAGTGAGGTCACTGGGGTGGCTCCTAAGCCAACATGACCAGCATCTTTGTCAGAGGAGATGAGGACACAGACGCACACAGAGGGACAATCCTGTGAGGACACAGGGAGGCAGCTGTCCACACACCAAGGAGGAAGCAGCCAGCCCTGCCCATACCTCCATCTGACTTCCAGCCTCCAGGACTGAGAGAAAATGTCTGTTGACTAAACCCCCATCTGAGGCACTTTGTTAGGGCAGCCCAGACTGAGACAGCATGCCCGGGGAATGCACTGACACAGCCTCTTGAGAGCACGCTCCCACCAACCCAAGGCGTGGGGGTAGCCCAATACCTTGTCCTGGTGACCAGGGTGGGGCTAACCGCCCCTCCCCCTCCCCATGGGAGCAGCCTCCAGGCCAGCCACTGCCATAAAGTCATGCCCAAGAGTGTAGGGGTGGCCGTCCCCCAGCAAGAGGCTGCTCCCTCCAGTCTGGGCTCACTCAAGGGAACTGCAGAACCAAGAGTGCAGCAGAATGACGTTTGGAAACACCTGAGATGGAGTCGTAGGAAGCCTTGTGGCACCCTCCTGGGTCTCTTGGGAAGCTCCTGTGGGCAGCCACAGCCTGCCATGCCTAGAGCTGCCCTGCAGGTGCCACGTGGAGCGAGCAGCGGGGGTCATCCTGGGGGTGCATCCTGCAGCCAGTGCCACGCAGACCACAAACCGCTCAGCTGAACCCTTCCCTGACTCCTCACAAAGTGGTGAGCGATGTAAATTGCTGATTTAAGCCCCTGAGCTTGGCCTAGAGTGGCATGCGGCAGAGGAGACCCACTCACCATTTCTTCCCAGAGGCCCCAGGTATCCTCACACAGAGGTAATCCTGCCCTGCCCTCACCAGGCCCTACCTGCAGCCAGAGATCAGGGAGGACTAAGCCATTCAGAAGGTGTCTTTACTTTTATTGCAAATCGTCCTTAACGGTAAGCTAACCACGAAAACACATCAGATCGGGGAAGAGTAGTAAGTAACACGGAAGGCACTTGCTACGAGTCGCATCCTCCTGACTCCGGCTCGCACTTCTCTGGACCGGCGAAGCCACTTCCCAAGGCAAGGACGCGGTGACAGCCTGCGCGTCGCTCTGCGGGGCTACATCTGCCTCTGCTTGTGCCGGGGGTGGGTCTTGCAGTAGACGAACCACCGGCCCCGCCTCTTCACCAGGTAGCAGTCCTTGCAGCGCTTCCGGAGCACGCCCTTGGTCTTGAAGCCCAGCGCGGGCTGCAGGCAGGGCGCGGGGCCGGCCCAGAGCGGGGGCCGCGGTGTGGCCCGGGGGGGCCCGGCCAGCAGCGAGGAGAAGGCCGGCGGGGGCGCGGCGCGGGGCCCGGCCCGGAGCAGGGGGAGCGCGGCCGCCGCCGCCCGCAAGAGCAGGGTCGCCATGCCGCGCCTGGCCTGCGAGGGGCGGGGCGGGGGTCACTCGGGGCCCGCGCCCAGAACCGCCGCGTCCGCCGCGCCGAGCCGGGCGCACCGCGCTCCAGCGGGCGGGACCCGAGCCCACGCGACGCGGCCTCCCCGGCCCACCGCGGCCTACGGCCCTCCCGACCCGCCCCGGGGCCCCACCGCGGCCCTCGGCCCGCCGGGACCCCCACCCTCGCCGCCCCGCAACCCCGGGACTCTCGAGACCCTCACCTGGCAGGAAGGTTCTTAGCTGGTTGCGCACCGTCGCTCTGCGCCTGCGCACGGGGGCAGGGACGCCGTCGCCAGGAAGAAAGATGGCTGCGGGGGGCCTCTACTGGAGCAGGGGCCGGGGGCGCACGCGCGCCGGCGCCGGAAGTCGCGCCACCCGCCCCGCCCCATGGGATGGTTGGGGAGGGGATGCAAAGGTGGAAAGCGGAAGTGGGTTCCAGGTGGCAAAAGAGATTCAACCAATTAGACCCTAGACAGGATGGACAAACAGCAGTTTTTAAGTGTATGTCCTGGGAGAAATGCACGGTAACGGGAAAGCCCCGACGCTGTGTAGTAATTAAATGGTGTCAACGGAAAAAAAGCCAAGTCTGCAAAATAATTTTAAAGAGATTTATTCTGAGCCAAATTTGAGGACCATGACCTGGAGCCACTGCCAAGAGGCCTTGGGCAAGTGGACTCGCTGTGGCTGGGTTACAGTTTGGTTTTTATACAGTTTAGAGACAAGGGTTATGGGTAAAGCCATCAATCAATGTGTGGGAGGCATACATTGGTTTGGCCCAAAAAGGAGGGCCATCTCAAAGGGGGGGGGGCTTACAGGTTATAGGTGGGTTTAAAGATTCTTTAGATTGTAATTGGCTAAGACATGAAGCTTTGTCTAAAGACGTGGAATATTTTAACATAAACTGTTTACCAGAGATAAGCCACCATTTGTTGCAAATTGAGGGCCTGCAGGTTTGTCTTGCATACCCTTAGGCCTGTTAATGGGTTACAAAGGAAGTCTCCAAGAAGGGAGGGGGGCATGATAAGGCCTGTCTGACCTCCCTCCTCCTGGCAGGCAACTTTGCCCTTGAATATTCCTCTGGCCACGAGGGGGTCCATTCAGTCAGCTGGTAGGGATTGAGCATTTTAGTTCACAACGGTTTATCTTGAGCCGAGGGAGCATGTACGCGGCCGTGCCAGGGAGCCACGGCCACGTCAGGGAGCCTGTGCAAGCGTTCTCAGGTGGCCGGTCGGGTCGGTTTCGTACATTTTAGAGAGACAGGAATTGCAAACAATGTCCCAAATCGATACTTTGGCCACAAAAGGCGGACAAAGTGGGGCTTACAGGTTATGGGTGGGTGTAAGGTTTCTTTGATTTGCAGTTGGTCAAAGACAGTGAAGCTTCATCCAGAGGCGTGGGAAGTTTCGAGTTAAGGAGTCCGTTAGAGCAGCAGTCCCTGACCCCTGTGGCACCAGGGGCGGATCTCGTGTTAGACAGTTTTCCAAGGAGTGCCAGGGCCTAGGCGGTGATGCAGAGGTGGGGAGCGGCTGCAAACAGGAGGGAGCCCCCTTTGCTGGCTCCCCGCTGTGCACCTGCTGTCTGGCCAGGGTTTCCAGGCAGGGGGTTCGCTCAGGCGGCAATGCGGCCTGCTCCTGCTCTGAGGGTGGGGACCCGGGCATCATTTGATGGCCTGCCACTGGTTTGACCTTTGCCCTGTATGCCCTCAGGTCCTGTTAATAATTTAGTATCTTATTGTCACCAAGAGTCTGTTTTGTTAGTCTGTGATCTCTGTTTTAACATTCATGCTGGTCAGTGGTTGAGTCTAAACTCCCAGGGGGGGGAAGGCTTGTCCCATCCCCTTCCCTTAGTGGCCAGGACCTCGGTTTTAAGGTTTTTCTTGGGGTCACCTTGGCCGAGGGGTCTGTTCAGTTGGCAGAGGGATTGGGATTTTGTTTTAGTTCACAGCTGACTTGTGTAAACGAGTGAAAATAGGCAATGGCCCCAACTGGTTATAAACTATCTGTTTTCTTTCTCCATTATGGAAAAGTTCGAACATACAAAAACACTGGCAAGACTTTTACAGGGACACCCATGTACCTACCGTCTAGACTACAGTTAATGGGCTTACACTTGAGTATCTACTGAGAACCCATCCATCTTACTTTCTGTGGATGTCGAAGTGAGTTGCAAACTGGCTACATCCACCCTCCCTCCCTGCACGTTGCTAGCTCAGTGCAGGCTTCTGTGCCTGGGCTTCTGCGCCTGACCAGGCAAGCACGGGGCGGGCTCTGGACAAATCTGCACCTTTCCGTCTTCAGGAGGGCTTTCTGCGAATTGTGTTTCTTGTCGCCTTTCTCCTCTTCTGTGTCACCTCTCCGGCCTCCAGTCCATCTCTAGAGTCTTGTTCTTGGAGCCGCCTGGTTCTCAGGCCCCAGCCACAGGAAAGAAAAGGCAGATGCTGGAATGTCACACGGGGACTGCACCCAGGTGGGGCTGGACTACAGGTGGGGACTGCACCTAGGTGTGGCTGGACTGTAGGTGGGGACTGAGCCCAGGTGGGGCTGGACTGCAGGTGAGGACTGCACCCAGGTGCGGCTGGACTACAGGTGGGGACTGGACCCAGGTGGGGCTGGACTACAGGTGGGGACTGAACTCATGTGGGGCTGGACTACAGGTGGGGACCGGACCCAGGTGGGGCTGGACTACAGGTGGGGACTGGACCCAGGTGGGGCTGGACTACAGGTGGGGACTGGACCCAGGTGGGGCTGGACTACAGGTGGGGACTGGACCTAGGTGGGGCTGGACTACAGGTGGGGACTGGACCCAGGTGGGGCTGGACTACAGGTGGGGACTGCACCCAGGTGCGGCTGGACTGCAGGTGAGGACTGCACCCAGGTGGGGCTGGACTACAGGTGGGGACTGGACCCAGGTGGGGCTGGACTACAGGTGGGGACTGGACCCAGGTGGGGCTGGACTACAGGTGGGGACTGCACCCAGGTGCGGCTGGACTGCAGGTGAGGACTGCACCCAGGAGGGGCTGGACTGCAGGTGGGGACTGCACCCAGGTGGGGCTGGGCTGCAGGTGAGGACTGCATCGGTCGGCTGTAAACACGAGCCTTTCGGAAGCTGCACCTACATACTGGACAGAAGCAACTGCAGGTTTACTGGTCGTTTCACAGGGCCGTGTTGCGGAAATTCCCCAAACCTGAGATCACACACAGGAAAGCGGACGTCTTACAACTTGCACTTTCAGTTTCTTCCGCTAAGCTATCGGCCCCTTCACCTGTAAATCACTTGATATTTAAACTTCTCATGATTATCGATTACCATAAGAATATAAACAGTGTCGCTTCCGTTTGCCTCTTTCCCTGCTTTCCGCGCATAATCATCACTGGCAACCACTGGGCGCGGAGGATTGCGCAGTCGCCCACCTAGTCGGCCCCGTCCGTACCTGCCAGACCGACCGCCCCGCGCGTGCGCACACTCCGCCCCGCCGGCGCGCCTCCCCAGGGCGAAATAAGTCCCGGGAGCGCGGGTACCGACGGAAGTAGTGCGCATGCGTCGGCACTCGTAAAATCGTCGCGCCGGGTCAAAGGTCAGCCGCACAAAATGGCGGCGGCGGTGACCTTCTGCCGTTTGCTGGTTCGGGCCGGCGCGGGGGCGCGGAGCGTGCCCCGGGGCGCCAGGTGTTTCGGGGTGCGGACGTCGCCGAGCGGGGAGAAGATCACGCACACCGGCCAGGTAACGGCCGCGGGGCGTAGGACGCGGGGCCGCGGTAGGGGGCCAGTTGGGGGGCCGGGTCGCGGTCAGCCCGTGCCTCCGTCGCAGCCTCACACCGGCGGGTCGCCCACCCGGTGGACCCCACCTGTCGGGGCGGCACCGGCGGGTCGCCCGGCGCGATCCCAGCGCAGAGCACGCGCGCAGGCCGAGCCGGGCGTCCCCGGCGGCAGCGGGCTCCCTGCAGGGCTCCCGCCGGCGGTCTGTCCCACCGGTTCTCTGGACCGAGCATCTTTAAGGTCGTGCAGTGTTGGCAGTAACCGGTAATAACCCGAGGGGTCTCTCTAGAGCACAGAAACAGGGTGACACTGCAGTCGTGAGCCAGAAGGCGAGCCAGAAGGCACGTGTATGTCATGCCAAGACGTGCCCTAGTGTGGCCGTACGTGAAAGGAGGTGGTTCTCCTAGGTCAGGATGTCTCTCCTCTCCCTCAGTCCGCCTTCTTGGTCGCTACTTGCCTCTTCTTTTCCGCTGCACCTTCCCGGGGTACCCCAGACTTTGTTCTTCCATTCGTATCATTACCCCTTGTCATCCCAGGTATCTTGCTAAAAAATGCCCCTGGCAACACAGTGTGCCCCTGCTGTGTTTGACTAGTTATCAATGGCCTAAGAGTTAAGAAAAACACTTTCTTGTATATTTATGATTGATTTTTAAGTAACCACATTCAGAATAAGGCTGCAAAAATTACATATGGTCTTTTTCCTTTCCTCCCCAGGTTTATGATGATAAAGACTACAGGAAAATTAGGTTTGTAGGTCGTCAGAAAGAGGTGAGTAAAAGATCTAGTGAAAGTGAGGTATGCTTTTATAAAACTTGCATATAACCTACAAGAAATAAAGATTAATATGTAAGATTTAATAAATTCTCCTCACATTTTGAGCATCCTTGGAGATCTGTAGTTCTATATTTCTTATAATTTAGTTAATTGTATCCATTTCTGCTTTTTTCACCCTGAAATACATAATGTGACATTTTGTAACAAGTTCTGGTTTATCTATATAAATGGGAGTGATCTTTTTCATTTCTGTGCCTTATACTTTTGAGAGTGTCATATTAAGGTAAATCATATCAACTTTTCAGAATTGCTCTTTTAATCACTTGCCAATGGTAAAGAAGCCAAACTCCATAAAATAATTTAAAGAGGTTTATTCTGAGCCAGATTTGACAATCATGGCCCTGGTCGTCAAGCCCAAGAAGACTTGAGCAAGTGGATTGCTGTGGTTGGGTTACAGTTTGGTTTTATACATTTCAAGGAGAAGGGAATTATAGATAAAGTCATAAATCAATATTTGGAAGGCATATATTGGTTTAGCCCAAAAAGGTGGGACATCTTGAAGAGTGGCTTACAGGTTATAGGCGAGTTTAAAGACTGATTTGTGGCCGGGTGTGGTGGCTCACGCCTGTAATCCTAGCACTCTGGGAGGCCGAGGCGGGTGGATCGCTTGAGGTCAGGAGTTCGAAACCAGCCTGAGCAAGAGCAAGACCCCGTCTCTACTATAAATAGAAAGAAATTAATTGGCCAACTAATATAGATAGAAAAAATTAGCCGGGCATGGTGGCACATGCCTGTAGTCCCAGCTACTCGGGAGGCTGAGGCAGGAGGATCACCTAAGCCCAGGAGGTTGCTGTGAGCTAGGCTGATGCCACGGCACTTACTCTAGCCTGGGCAACAAAGTGAGACTCTGTCTCAAAAAAAAAAAAAAGACTGATTTGTAATTGGTTAAAGAAATGAAGTATTGTCTAAAGACTTGGAATGTTTTAAGTTAAGGTAAGGAAGTCTATTAGAAGACAAGCCACCGGGCACAGACCCGGAGTCAAGTGATCTGTTGTGTATATTGAGGACCCAGGGTCGTGGTGCACACCCTTAGGCCTGGTAATGAGTCACAGAGGACAGTTACAAGAGGGAGGGGCGTTATGGGACATGATGGGCAGGTCTGACCTCCCTTCTCATGGGTAGCAACTCAGCTTTAGGGTGTCCCCTTGTTCAAGAGGGGTCTATTCAGTCAGCCAGTGGTCGAGGGGAGCTTAATATTTTATTTTAGTTCACACACCTTTTAGGGGATGTTTTTCATAGTCCTCACCAAATAAATTAGGCTGTGTTTTTATAGGGACTTACACTGACAAGCTGAAAGTGGCACATGAATTATTCTTCTCTGAGTGGGTCTAACTGCTATACACGTTATAAAGGAAGATTAATTAAATCTGACACCCCTGAGCGTGGCTGCTAGAGAAAGAATGTTGACATCGGGATCCTTCGGCCTAAATAAGCCTGTTTTCTTATCTAACTCCCTCCCTAACACGCGTCTACCGTCTCCTGAATTCTTGTTCCTGCAGGCGAATTTCCTCCATGTTTCCTGAATCTGTTTTTGTCCTTCATGGCTACCGTATGCCATTCTCCTTCCCACTTCAGTCAGCCTGTTGGTTCTTCTTGTTACCCCTTACCTGCCCCTCCCACTTCCCCTTTGTTCTTGGTCACATCATCCCTTCCAGTGTCTAGTTTTTTATTTCTATTCAGGAGCTGTGGGACATTCTAGAGAAGCTCACATGGTCATGAGTTGGCTCAGTATAAATTCATGTTCTCAAAATGCAGCTGGTTCACTGTCGTGTGGTCTGAATGGGAGGCAGAGAAGTCTGTATTCTGTTGGCTGATTATTTGGTGACACCGCCCGGGTGTTGGTTGAGAAGGGTCCCGGAGCCTGCTCCAGGTGCAGGGGATGAGTGTGCTGTGACTGACAGGGATGTCTGCCAGGACCATGGTGGTGGAGGGGGCTTGGGTCTGGAGGGTTTGCCCCTCTGGTGGGGTGGAAGCCATGTGGATTTTCAGTCTGGAGGTTGCGGTTGGATCAGCATCGGTTAATGCCTCTGAAATTCAGTTTTCTCATTTGTGCAATGGAAGCCACGAGAATATGGTTCATAGAATTGTGCCTCTCCAGTGAGATGACATGTGAATTGTCTAGTAAGTGTTGGCATGTGGTGAGTCCTCTGCATCCTCAGAATTTTCTGTTTCTTCCTTGAGTTGTTACTGCATTCCCAGCGGTAGCATCTGTTCCGCAAGCTACTTTCTCCAGCCCTGTAGCCCAGTCTGCGCATTCCTTCTGTGCACAGACCGTTTCTAGTGGTCTAGCGCAGGGCAGCAGGGAAACAACTTAAAATTAAACCCAACAAAATCAGAGTTGGTATCACCAGCGAAGGTGGCAGCAGGAGAGGGCTGTGGTGCTGTCTCTCCGGCTGTCTCTCCCCCAGGTGCCATCCTGGCTGTGACCCTGGACACTCGGCCCTCAGCCTCCCCAGTGCCTTTCCTGATTCAGCATCCAGAGTCAGGGCACGCCTTGGCCTTTTATAAAGGTATGAGGCATGTTTGTAACACGATGAGTGGGCACCCTGCTCAGGTGTAACTTCTTTCAATAATCATTTGGTGTTGAATACTATTTTTAGTAGTATTTTTTGGTGATAAGAGACCTTATCTTTTTAGAACACTTTTAGGTTTACAGAAAAACTGAAGAGAATAGGCAGTTCTCATAGGCGCCCACTCTCCCTAGCAGTTTTGTTGTTACTAACATCTTCCATGTGTCTGCTGCCTTGTTACAACTGACGAAGTTATTATTGACTCATGTCCGCAGTAGACATTGAAGTTCACTCATGGTGTTGTACAGTCTGTGGGTTTGGGCAAATGTACAATGACATGTGTCCGCCAGCACAGTGCCACACACAGTTTCCCTGCCCTAGGAATCCCTCCCTCCCCACACTCCTGGCAACCCCTGTGTTCCTGTCTGTGTAGTTCTCTTTAGTAGCAAGGTAAAGAATAAACCTAATCTGAAAGCAAGAAACTAGATCGGTGAACCGACCTTTGCAGAAAAAGGTAGAAAGTACCCACGCATGGCCCTTGCCCGGTTTTGACTGGGGTACCGGTGTGGTTTGCTGTGTATCTGCACAGGGCGCCCTGCTTGTGCTGGGGCCGGTAACTCGTGTCACGTGTTACCAGGCTGAGGAGCAGCTCCTCGGGTCTGAGCAGAGAAGACTTGTGGCATCTTTCCTCCCATGTTGACCAGTCTTTTACACTGGCATGTCATCATCTGAACCATGCTGGTTCTCACATATGCGTGTACACATGTGTGGCCACAGGCAGGACAGCTAAGGAGCAGAGAGGGAGTGCTGAGTGCCCGGGGGTCAGTGGCTGCAAGAAGCAGTTGCTGCTCGTGGGCTGAGGTGGGGCGGGCAGGAGGAAGAGCTTAGAAGGTCCAGTGTAGGGAATCTTGGATTAATGTGAAACAGGTCTCTGCTTCCTCCAGAAAGGCTGGACTCTCGAAACGGTGGTCATGAGAGAGAGGCTTGTTTACTTACCCCCCAGGGCCCAGAGGAAAATATTTGAAACTGTGAATTCAAAACCCCCCAGGTTCAGATGCTGGTGGCTTAGTGGATAAGTGGCGAGGTGTCTGCTTTGATTTCCTCCCTCGGGGTGGCTGCCGGACTTGGCATCTGCTTCCTTCCTGCGTCTTTGTGCCTTGTGATACTTTCTCTTCCAGGGCACCAAAGCAGGTTTGAACACGTCCTCCAAACAGCCCAGTTAGTGGTTTTGAGCATTTTCTGGGAAGTTACTTAGTTTAATTAGGATGGAAACTTCAGGTATTTCCTATGATCTAAAAATTGTATACATATATAGATACATGCACACACGTAGGTTTAACTAAATGTAATTGTTGATATTAATGTTAAAAATACCTGATGATCAAACTGAGTTATAAGCTGTAAATTTAAAATAAACTATGTAAAGTTCCATTAATGGGGTGTTTTATAGAACATTGAATACTTAGCTGGGTTATTATTTCCTTTTTGCATTGTTTTTTTTTTTTTTTTTTTTAGACAGAGTCTCACTCTTGCCCAGGCTGGAGTGCCGTGGTGTCAGCCTAGCTCACAGCAACCTCAAACTCCTGGGCTCAAGCAATCCTCCTGCTTTAGCCTCCCGAGTAGCTGGGACTACAGGCATGTGTCACCATGCCCAGCTAATTTTTTCTATATATTTTTAGTTGTCAATTAATTTCTTTCTATTTTTAGTAGAGACGGGGTCTCGCTCTTGTTCAGGTTGGTCTTGAACTCCTGACCTTGAGTGATCCTCCTGCTTCGGCCTCCCAGAGTGCTAGGATTACAGGCGTGAGCCACAGTGCCTGGCCTGCATTGATTTTGATACGTCATAGAATTATATACTTTATCTTTAAGAGATTTAATCTCAGCTTGATGTAAAGGAACAGACTTTCCGTAGGAGCCGTCACTCCAAAAGATGTACGAGTTAGAACGAGAATGGGGTGCTGACAAATGAATCTAAACCCCAATGTTTTTATACCCAAGTCAGCTGATGGTTAGAGGTGGTGGGAAAGGTGCTTCCTGTTCTTTACGTGGTGACGTGTGAAGGACTCATCTCACAGCAGTGGGACAGCCAGGGCTCGAGCCTCACCGTGTGCTTGAAGAGATGAGTGTGGGCTGCCCTGACGTTTTTTCTCCCGTCAATTTCCTCGTAAAATCCGGCTGTGCTTTTCTCCTCCTCTTACCCTTCTTCCTAGGCGGGAACAGCGAGGGAGCGCCCCCAGTTTGAGCACCGGGCAGGCTTTGTTGTGTTGGGGTGTGTTCACTGCGGGTCCTTTGTATTCCTGCGGTTGACGAGTTCCGGCCCCAGATGCTGTGACGGGCGGTCAGGGTCGCCCTGGAGCTGCGTGTGTAAATGACGGGAGGGCACCCGCGTCAGTCACCGGCATCAAGGCGTCAGCTGCCCTTCCCTCGGGGAGGTGGCCGGGCTCTGACTGCCGTGACTGGGGCCTGGCAGTTTGTTAGTGCGGCCTTTGTGACACGTTGTCACTTAGGCAGACACCGCATTATTTACTCCATAAGGCTTCATTTGTATGGCTGGTGCCTGGCTGGCAGCGGGCTGAGGGACACCCCTCACTCGCAGCCGCAGTGCGGTGCTGGTACAGGCAGCCCCCAGACCTCGCCGCGGCTTGTGTCTCGGGCTTGTAGAACAACGCTGAGGAGCACTGCGCGGCCCGCGGCGGCGCTCTCCACGAGCTTCCTGCCGTGTTTCTGGAAGCAGATCTTTAAGGAAAAGCTTCATAGCACTGTGATCTTCACAGTGACGCCTTTCCAAGGCGTCTGTGAGTCTGTAAGGGGGAAAGCCGTGTTCTCACGTGTTCTCTTGCCGTGTGTGGCAGCTGCACGAGCCCCGTGCTGCAGAGATGGCAGCTGGCACGGCGTGGCTTGCCGCGAGCTGTTCCCCACCCTGGTGAGGTTAGAGACGCAGAGGAGACGCTGGGTTTTACCCTGCGCCACGAGGGGAGGTGGTCCCCGCAAGCCTGTGTGCTGTGTGCAGACCTTCCTGCTGAGGCCAGCACGTGTTCGCGGGACGGCGTGAGCGCGTAGGTGGTTTCAGAGGGGAGGACACTGGGGATGGGGGATGGCGCGACGCTTGGAGCGGGGCTGCCGTCCAGGAGGACCACGTCACCGGGGCACACAGGCCAGGGTGTTTAACTGCTTTCTTAAAGAATAAACTTTATGAAGTAGAGGGAACAGCATGATGATCCCTCCTCCCGTGTGCCCAGACACTCGGTTTCCACGGCTGTCGGCCCAGGTAACTGTTGTGATGGTGGATCTGCTGACAGCCCGCGCCACCAGTCCCAGGTGATTTTGGGGTGAATCTTTGACATCCTGTCAGTGAAGCTTCTGAATTTATCAGTAAGTTGACCCTTGGACAACATGGGTTTGGACTGTGTGGGTGCACTCATAAGGGGAGCTGTTCAGCCTCTGTCACCCCGAGACAGCCAGGCCAGCCCCTCCTCGGCCTCCTCCGCTGGCGACGGCCTTTGTGGTGACCCTGTTCCACTTAGTGAATAGAACTACGTTTTCCTTCGGACTTCCTCCGTGACAGTGTCCTTCCTCTAGGTTACTTTATTGTAAGAATATAGTACATGACACGTGCAACATACAAAACACGTGCTAACTGGCTGTTTAAAAAGTTACATATGGATTTCAACCTCAGCAGGGCAGTGCCTCTAATCTGTGCATTGTTGAAGCGGACACTTCAGGCCACGTGTCCCAGTGAACAGGTGTACTCAGCAACAGCACGGTGACCCTCTGTGACACAGGGACTAGTGTGTGCGGGAGTAGTGCGTGAGTGCAGTACACTCACAAGGACACGCAACTGAGGTACAGCACACATCACGTGGACAGAACATAAGGTCACAAAAGAGTGAAGCAGTGTAGTCAGTGAGCTAACTCCTGAGTAGGTGCCAGGTATTACAACCTGGTAGATTTCCCACTTATAACACCAGGAAAAAGACTAATAAGGTAAATCGAAAGACAGCAGAAAGGAGGGGGAGTGGTCATGATAAAATCAGAGTTAATTAAATAGAAAATACGGGTAGATTAAGTTACTAATTCAAAATCTTGGTTTTGTGAAAATTGGTAAAATAAACCACCGATCATTAATGATTAAACCACACGACTGAAAAGATGGCATACACAGATACTCAAAGTTAAGTGTTCAGAGGGAAATAGTTATTGATAGGACATTCGCCCACTTCTATGCAAATAAATTTAGATGAAGTAGAAAATTTTTAGGAAATACAGTTTACCAGAATTGATCTCAGTAAAGGGGGAAAGCTGAAATAGGCCAGTTTCCACAGGAGAAGTGGGGATGGTTCCTAAGGAGTGGCCCTTCACGTGACACAGGTCCAGACAGTGTCGTAGGGAAGTTCTGCCAGACCGCCAGGCATTCGGTGACCCTGGTACTACACAGTTTTTCCAAAATATAGAACATGGAGGAAAACTTAGAGCTTCTTTTTATGACACAGAGGTAACTATGGCACTTGAGGCTAATAAACAGAAATCAATACTGTGGATATTGATAGAAAAGTCCTGCATACAAGATCGGTGGACACTCCAGTACCATGTCAGGAAAGCAATTTGCCCTGACCAATTGGAATTCATACCAGGAAATCTGATACTGCTTACCAGATCAATAAGTCTGGAGAAGAGCCATACGATATCTCTGTAAGTGCTGAAAAGGTCTTTGACAAAATTTAATACGCATTTCATTTTTTTTTTTTTTTTTTTTTTGAGGCAGAGTCTTACTTTGTTCCCCAGGCTAGAGTGCAGTGGCGTCAGCCTAGTTTACAGCAACCTCCAACTCCTGGGCTCAAGCAATTCTCTTGCTTCAGGGACTACAGGCATGTGCCACCATGCCCGGCTAATTTTTTCTATTTTTTAATTTGCCAATTAATTTCTTTCTATTTTTAGTAGAGACGGGGTCTTGCTCTTGCTCAGGTTGGTCTTGAACTCCTGAGCTTAAGCAATCCTCCCACCTCGGCCTCCCAGAGTATTAGGGATTACAATCCTGTATTAGGATTCTAATACAGGATCCTGCATTACAGGTGTGAGCCATCACGCCCGGCCTAAAACCCTTTACTAATTAGAGACTCTTGAGAAAACAGGAATTGATAGTTACTTCCTTGACATGGTAACATGTATGGTAACATGCGTTTTGCATGTTACATGTGTTTTGCTTCAGTTTTAAAACCTGCGTTATATAAAAAACCCACTAAAGACGTCCCCCCACAGTCAGGAACAGGGCACAGATGCCCACAGTCTGTATTACTGCTTAACCTAGTATAGGCAAAGAATTAGCAAAAAGTAGTAAAACTGTATCTATGTCTAAACCGCCTGAGAATCAGTGACCACACTAACTCAGTCAAAAGGATCTGCAAACAAGCAGGCCGTGAAGCTAACGCAGAGCCTGCCTCCCGTACACGTGCGTATCCGTGATGGGTGGTGGCACAGGGGACGAGGACCCCCGAAGCAGCAGCCGCAGACACAGAGTAGGCTCAGGGCCGGCCGGCCGCCGTGATGGGTGGTGGTGCAGGGCACGAGGACCCCCGAAGCAGCAGCCGCAGACACAGAGCAGGCTTAGGGCCGGCCGGCTGCCGTGCAGACGCTGACCGGCGAAGCCGGGAGGACGGCGTGGCCCCACAGAGCAGCCACGCCGTGGCATCTGCGGTATTTCAGACAGATCTCTCACATCGGTGCCGCGTTTACTGATAACTCTGCTGAGGTTATGTCAGATGATATTCTTATGGAATACACACGGGAGCAAACGAGGGAAAGGCCGTGCGGTCCGTGCGCTCAAATGGGCCTGAAAAAGCGTGTGCGCGCGGAGAGAAAGGGCAGGACGGGCCGGGAGAGCAGACTGTTCTAGTTCTCGCAGCGTTTCTGTAGGGTTGGAATTCTTCTCAGTGGAGAGTAAGTGTATGTGAGACTGTGTTTAAGGTATCTGTGTTTTGGCAGCCTGTGCTGAAGATATTTAGTGAAAGCGTGCAGAGTGTTAGCAGATTTTGTGATTGTGTGTGTAAGCCCTTCTTTTCTTATTCCAGGTGAACGAAAACTTCGCCATTGATTTGATAGCAGAGCAACCCGTGAGCGCGGTGGAGAGCCGGGTGATAGCGTGTGACGGCGGCGGGGGTGCGCTGGGCCACCCAAAGGTGTACATCAACCTGGTGGGTAGCCGCCGGGCTCCTTGCACGCGTGTGGAGGTGGCCGTCGCCTGAGGGCCGCTTTGCTCCTGGCCACCTGGTCCTCCCCCCCTCTTGCGCCTGCTCCCTGGGTGGCCCTGTGGCGTTCACACTGCTTCGCGTTCACACTGCAGACGCGTGCTGGGGGGGCCACGTGAGTGGCGTGTCCACAGACAGCCTCTGGTGTGTGAGGTGGGCGGTGTGTCTAGGTGGCTTGGCATCGGTGTCCGCCTTCCCCTTCTCACTCACGCGGGCGTGTGTTTTCGTCTCTGAACCGCTCTGTTTGGTCCTCATCTCGGCCTGCCGCACAGAGCCACGCACCAGGCGGCTTAAACCACAGAAATCTCTTCTCTCATAGTCCTGGAGGCCAGAAGTGTGGGCTCTGGGCGCCCCAGGGTGGGCTCCTCCCTCCTGGGCCTGTAGACGGCGCCTTCTCCCTGTGTCCTTGCAGGGCCGCCCCTGTGTGCTTGTCAGTGTCTCTGTCTCTTGTGAGCAGATGGACCCCCACGACCTCACATAACCTCCGTCACCTCCGTGAGGATCCTGTCTCCAGTACAGTCACGCCGGGGCTCAGGACACTAGGATAGGGCTTCACCCTGTCTCCAGTACAGTCACGTAGGGGTCAGTACACTAGGATAGGGCTTCACCCTGTCTCCAGTACAGTCACGTAGGGGTCAGGACACTAGGATAGGGCTTCACCCTGTCTCCAGTACAGTCACGTAGGGGTCAGGACACTAGCATAGGGCTTCACCCTGTCTCTAGTACAGTCACGTCAGGGCTCAGGACACTAGCATAGGACTTCACCCTGTATCCACTACAGTCACGTCAGGGCTCAGGACACTAGCATAGGGCTTCACCCTGTCTCTAGTACAGTCACGTCAGGGCTCAGGACACTAGGATAGGACTTCACCCTGTCTCCAGTACAGTCACGTAGGGGTCAGGACACTAGCATAGGGCTTCACCCTGTCTCCAGTACAGTCACGTAGGGGTCAGGACACTAGGATAGGGCTTCACCCTGTCTCCAGTACAGTCACGTAGGGGTCAGGACACTAGGATAGGGCTTCACCCTGTCTCCAGTACAGTCACGTAGGGGTCAGGACACTAGGATAGGGCTTCACCCTGTCTCCAGTACAGTCACGTAGGGGTCAGGACACTAGGATAGGGCTTCACCCTGTCTCCAGTACAGTCACGTAGGGGTCAGGACACTAGCATAGGACTTCACCCTGTCTCCACTACAGTCACGTCAGGGCTCAGGACACTAGCATAGGACTTCACCGTGTGTCCAGTACAGTCACGTCAGGGCTCAGGACACTAGCATAGGACTTCGCCCTGTCTCCAGTACAGTCACGTCAGGGCTCAGGACACTAGCATAGGGCTTCACCCTGTCTCCAGTACAGTCACGCCGGGGCTCAGGACACTAGCATAGGACTTCACCCTGTCTCCAGTACAGTCACGTCAGGGCTCAGGACACTAGCATAGGACTTCGCCCTGTCTCCAGTACAGTCACGTCAGGGCTCAGGACACCAGCATAGGACTTCGCCCTGTCTCCAGTACAGTCACGCCGGGGCTCAGGACACTAGCATAGAGCTTCGCCCTGTCTCCAGTACAGTCACGTCAGGGCTCAGGACACTAGCATAGGGCTTCACCCTGTCTCCAGTACAGGCACGTTGGGGTCAGGACACTACCATGGGACTTCGGGGAAGCATGATTTGTTTTCTGATCGTCTCTCTGTAATCTTTGACGTCTATTGAGAAGTGTCAGGCACAGGGCCGTGGAGTAGAGGAGGAAACCCTTCAACACAGTGTGGACATGGCACAATGCACAGGGAGGGTGGGGGCAGCTGCAGCGTGTCCATTGAGGACGTGTGTTCTGGGTGTCCTTACTAAAGCATAGTCACTGCGTAGTGGGACTTTGTCTTTAACAGAGGTGACATTTTCTGAAAGCTGTTCATGTCTTGCATGCTTGTCCTGAAGGTATGGTATGGCCGACATGCCCTACGAAGCAGCCAGGCAGGACCCCTGCGGTGTCCAGGAGTGCCCTCCCGGGACCTGCCCCAGGGCCATGTCTGGGTGTGGCTCGAGGCCTTTGCCAGCACCATCCGCCACCCCCTGTAGGCAGGAGGAGGTGGAGAGTAGGTGGGTCGCAGGGAAGGTGCCAGGGCGCTGTGGGCAGCAGCCGTGCCCACAGGGTGGGGCCAGGTCTCAGTTCTTGGCTCAGTGGTGACCTCTTCGTGCCAGGGTTGCTAGTTGACAGTGTACGAGCTGTGTCTGGAGAGTGTCCGGCCGTGTGATAGGAACCACAGAGACAGCTACTGAAGAAGACGCAAGAAACATTGCACCAGGACAGCGACGCCTCAGTCCCCTTCAGAGCAGCCACCTTGAGACCCACACAGTTCTCCCGGGTCTCATAGCCTGGCCGTGTGTGTTCAACACCTTCACGTGCTCTGCGTGTTGCAGGCCTTCCAGAACGCGGGGCACTCGCAACGGTGCCACAAAGATTCTCGGCCATCTTTGAAGCGTTTGTGGCACACTTTTCTTTGTGGTGCACTCAGTGCATCGTCCCTGAAAGCCATCTGAGTCATCTCAGTAGTTTCCACAGAGGGACATTCAAGCTTTACACAAGATTTAACGCACATTTGTGCTCTGCTAGTTTCGGATGCGACGGCCACACGGTGCACGTGCTCACCGAGTGGCGTCCAGCCCCGCTGACTGGCGCAGTGAAGGCGTCACTGTCCACACGGGCACGTCCCAGCCCCCTCTGCGTGGCTGCCGGGCCACACCCATGTCACACAAACTGTCCTCGTTACGTTAGCGGTGTCTGGCTACTTTCCGCACTACCTTATATTCCAAGTTTTATACGTACTTTTCTGATGTGAAATATCTGCTAGATTGGGAGTAGGTTGTGGAAATATGAGATCGTTCCTTTTGGTTTTTTCAGGACAAAGAAACAAAGACCGGGACGTGTGGTTACTGTGGACTCCAGTTCCAGCAGCACCATCACTAGGGCGAGGCCGCCCGTGGCCGGGCGCCAGCGTCTCCGTGTTGGGAGCAACGTACGTGCGGGCGCTGGCTCTGCTGTGGGTGTTCCTGGTGTGGAATAAAGGGCCTTGCGGTCCGGACGGCGGCTCAGAGCCTCTTTATTTCGTAGAATGAGCTTGTCCCCTTACTGCCCCGCCGCTGCACAGCGTGCGCCCGGCGCTCCCGCCTGCTTCGCAGGTGCCGGATGCCTCTCCAGGGTCCTCCCCTCCCTGGGACCTCGAGGCAGCTGAGAGCGAAGGCAGCGGGGGCACCTTTCCTGCCGTGCTGGCGCGGCCGCGGCTCAGCAGGACCCCCAGGTCCACCGCTGAGGGGCCTCGGCCTGGCGTGTGGCGCCCGCTCTCCCCGGGCAGCGGGACTCTCCACCATCTTATCCTGCGTCGACACGAAGGGTCTTAGACCGAGAGCCTAAAGCACCCGTGCAGGTGTTGAAGTCACACGCTGGCCACAGTAAGGGAGACCTGCGTATCTGAAGCAGTAGGATTGCCATGTGGGGTGACAGACATGGAGTCATGAGGGACGGGACTGGAGGCTTCCCCGGATGGTCCCGGGGCCAGCGAGCGAGTGCTGGGACTTCCAGAAGGCGGAACACGGGCAGCTGGATGGACACAGAGGCAGGAATCAAGCAAACCACAGAAAACACCTGAGCTGGGGAGAATCCTGCAGGTCACAGTGCACAGTAGGTTCCCTGCAACATGGGTGGGAAAAGGCACAACTGGGCACGTTCTGGTTAAAAGGAAAAAATAAGCTCTAACTTCAGTGTGTAGAGGACAAACTCCCCACGAGCCTGCGTCCCCACGGCCTCACCTGCTCCGGCGTTTGGGTGCCCTGGCCACGCTCTGCGGTGTCGGCAGACGCCGGCCCTGCCTGGGAGCCGTACCTGTGGTGGTGCCTCCTCTGGTGGGGCCAGGTCTTGCTGCCCCTGTCCCTCCGTAGGGATCCAGTGACTGCACCAGGTCCAGGCCCACACGTGGACACGGATGTGGGGGCCGCGTCTCCCACAAAAGCACAAAGGGACAGGAGAGAAGTTGAGGCCCGGCTCTGCCTGTGCGGGGCGCAGGGCTGCCCCAGGCTCACGTGGTGAGGGTGGGCTGAGAGCGCCACCCGCAGGTGCAGGAGAGGAGAGGTGTCCACGCCCCGAAGGCCGCTTCAGGGACAGACGCAGGGACGGGCAGGAAGGGAGAGCCGGGAGGACAGACGGGGGAGGCCGGGCTCTTGTCTTGGGAAGAGAGCTGGGGCCACGTGTCCCGTCTAAGGCTCCCTGGCCTAACCCTCGGGGCCTGGCCTGGGGGAGAAGTCACAGAACCGGCCCCCAGCTGTCCCTTCGGGGGGCAGGACGCAGAGCCTGGCCAGCGTGGCCGAAGCCCAAGGGAGCTGCGCCCGTGGCCTCTTCAGCCCCCCATTTTCTGACTCGGAAACAAGGACGTCCAGAAACAAATGACCGCATCTACGAGACTCTGGGGAGAACTTATTCGTGGAGAGACTCGGTTGCTTTAGACCCTGACTGGGATCCACGCTGGGGAGGCCGTTCCGCCATCCGCCCCCGAAGTCTGCGGCGTTGAAAACGCTCTGCCTTCTGCTCGAGAGCTTTATGGGAAACGGATATTAATTTCATTGTAATAAACGCCAGGAAAACTAAACATCTTGGTTTAATTGGCTCCTGAGTCGGCCCCCAGACCCCTTGCAGCCCCACACGGCCTGGGTGGGCCCTGCTTGGAGGACGCTCAGAGGCCACGGCCATCAGCTGGGACAGGAGGGGAGACCTGGCGGTTTCTGGGCACTGCCGACCTCCCTCTGCACCTCCTGCCACCAGGCAGAACATTTCTGCTCCTGTCTGTCCCTGGGATCTGGTGTGAGGATGGACAGGAAGTCCAGCAGGCGGCTCCTTCACCAGGGCGGTGCCCTGACACCTGCTCCCTGGACAGGCTGGGCCTCGAGGCCACGCCTGCCCACCGAGGACTGCGGGGACGGGGGATGGGGTAGAGGGGATGGGGGACGGGGTGGGGGGGATGGGGAAGCCACCGAGCCCTCCAAGCTGCGGATGGCCTAACGAGTTTGTGGCCCAGAGGCCAGGGCTTCATGGACGGTAGCTGTCCCAACGCAGGTGCAATGGAGGGTCTCTCAGGAAGTCCCCCTCTGAAGTGGCTTCCCCTCCCTGGGACAGCCCAGGGAGGTTCTTGGGCAGAATTTGCCGCCACCAGGGAGGTTTCCTCTCTCCACAGGTGGGCCACAGGGGACAGCGTCCTCTGCAGAGGAGATGGGCACAAAGGAGTCCCTGGCAATGGCCGTCCTCCGGGAGGCCCACCTGGCTCTGTGGCCATGCAGGATCCTGGGTTCCAGCTAGTGTGGCCCCCAAGTGTTCAGTCAGTCACCCCTTATGGGGTGGGGGTGGCCTAGGAAAGACGCCTCCCAGACGGGAGGAAGCGGCCAGGCACCCACCCCAGACCTGAGGGACCTGCCAGCAAATCCTGTCCACCTGCTCCGGGGACAGGCCCGTGCCTGGAGTGTCCTGTGGGGCAGACGCCGGCCGTGGCCCAGCCCGTCTGAGCGCCAGGCACAGGCCAGCCCTCCTGGCGGACAAAGCCGCTTTCCTCGTCGTGCAAAGCTGCGCTTGGTTCCTCGGAGGCTAGTATCAGTATTAAGGTACTAATTTATTAGACACAAGGAGATTTAAAATTTCATTTTTATGCAGTTATTTAAAATTTAAAATGATAATGTCTAACCCAATTAAATTTCAGTTGATCATCCTCTAAGTGCACAGAGTCCTATAAAATATGAATAAGGAGTCGTAGGAACTCTTATAACAACTTAATCTCTGCGCAGACGATCTGCTGTTGGGTTTGCCTTGTCGAAGTTGACTTCAGGAAATAAAAAAAGATGCAAACTAGGTAGATCCAATGTCGAATATTGATCCGACTTTAAGTTTGTAGACTAGTTTTTATGCACTTAGATTTCCTCACGTGTTTTGAATAATTACGTTTTCTTTTTGAGGTGTTTCTTTGGGGATTTCTGGTGCTTTTACTGTTTTACTTGTCATTTTGTGATGTAAAAAAATTAATGAAGAATCACCTCCCAGGCTCCTGGGTCCCTTTGTCCTTCCCAGCACACGTGGCCTCCTCCTGCCACCACCAGCCCCCTCCCCAACCGCCCCAGGGGACTCTGCAGCCCGACACACCGGCCAAGGTGCTTGGGGACCTTTTGCCCTAAAAACCATCCCCCAGCACTGACTTCCTGCCAGGGAGCTTGAGGCCCTGGGATTCCCGCTGGCCTCATTTGGGGCAGTTCTGATGGTGCAGGGCTCCCTGGTCTCCCTGTGGGGACCAGGGCTGCTTCCTCCCTGGTGGGTGGAGCCCGCTCCAGCTCCAGAAACCACAGGTGCGTCAGCCTGGGCGCAGAAGCAGAGTGAGAATTCAGCGTCTCCCTAAGCCAGACGTTAAGGAGATTTCAAGAATGTCAGACAATGCCATTCTTTTTATTTTCTGTAAAAAAATATATTTTAAAGTTTGGAAGAAGGAGGGGAGGAGGGTCCTGGGGCCTGGGCAGGTGGGGCTTGGTCTCTCCGTGGACACCTCTGTTTCTTTCCCCACCCTCTGCCCCTGCTGAGTATGGCCCCGACTTCCGATATAGCCGAGGGAAGCCCTGGGTGCAGCGCAGAGAACAACGGCAGAAAGGCCAAGTGCGCCATGTCCCTGCAGCGCTGTGAGCGGGTGCTGTCCCCGTGCTGGGTGGCAGGCCTGGCCAGACACCCCGGCCCTGCTCTTGGTGTCTCTGTGACTAGTACTAGGGACACAGATTCCCAGCAGCACAGTGAGTCCTGGCAGCACAGTGAGTCCTGTTTTCTCGTCTTCTTTTTCCCGGGCGGCTCTTTGGTTAATGTGTGTACTTACGGGCCGTGGGGCCAGGGCGCTGTCCGCCGGCCGGTGTGTTTCAATCTTCCTGCCTCTCCTCCGAGCCCGGGGACGGGAGGGACTTTACTAGTGTCATCGATACTGCTGATGCTTCTGTTAATTTGCTTTTATTGTATGTGACGGAGAATGCCGCTCCCTCCGCACACATCTGCGTGCTCAGCGTGAGTCTCGGCCGTGCGGTAAGGTGCGGAGCTTGTTCCCTGCTCACGGTGGCCACCACGTCCCAGAGGCAGCCCGGCCGTGAGGGTGCCCAGCCAGAAGTTGGCTTGTCTGCGCCGGTGGTTTGCACCGCGTGTGCCTTCCCACAGGGAAAGTTTTCCGAGGGGAAAAGCCGTGGCTGAGGTCTGAGCTTGCAGTGGCCTCCAGCCCACCTGAAGATGGTTTCTGGGGTAAAATTCACTCCAGGTCCAGGCAACATTCCAGAAACGCATCTTCTCTAGTGCTGCTGTGGTGGTGGCAGCCACCCGCCTCCCTGGGGGTAGGTGGGAGGAGGTCCCAAAGAGGTTCGAGGCCTGGCGTCCGTGCACACGGAAGACCCCTGTCCAGCGCTCAGGCCCCCACCCAGCCGCCCCACTCTGGAGCCGGACGCCGTCCCCCATTCCCGCTTGTGTGACCGGGGCCGCCGTCCCCTCCTCCACCTCCTTCTGGGGATCAGCGAGTGGGCAGGTGGAGCTCATGGACCCCGTGACGGGCTTTTCTCCTCGCCGGTGACACTGCCATCACTGTGCTCTGTGGCTGTGCTGCCCGCTCCACTGCGACCCACGTCACCAAGGGGACATCTCGGACTGTCCCTGCCGGCCTCGCCACCCGGCCTGTGCTGTCTGGGACCGACCCCGTCCCTGAACCGGGCAGAGTCTCTGGGGCCTACTCTCTCTCTCTCTCTCTCTCCCTCTGTCGGGAGCCCTTCCGGTCTGTCCCTGAGCGGAGGCGGCATTTCTGGAGGAGCGGTCTCCAGGGCGCCTGCTCTGCTGCGGCTCCGCGTTGCTGCTTCCGGAACCTCCCAGGCCGCCGGGGCTCCTGCAGCCTCGCAGCGCAGGGCCGCACCTCCTGTCCTTCTGCCTCCAGCCGAGCGATGGAAACGAGGTGTCCGCGGGGAAAACCTTCCTGCAAAGGCACCTGCCGCCTGAGAGTGTTTTGGATGCCCGAGTTTGTTTCTACTACATGGGGCAGTTTGT